CCCCGGTGGTGGGGGGGTCTGCCACAGCCATATTGCACAGGCTCCACCCTCCATACCTTGTCCCGGACCCGGTGGGCTGGGTGCTGCTTCCAGTAAGGGAGCCTTACTGTAAGGCTCATCAGTTCATCTGTAAAAAAGAAGACGAGCGAGCGCCGATCCGGTACTGATTCCCACGGGCCCACAGTCCAGCACATCTATTGATGCTAAGCCATCAAGTGGTAGGGGATACATTCATTGAACATCTACAAAGTGCGAGTCACCGCTGGCTAAGACAGTTAGGGTCCCCTAACTGCAAGAGATCTGTAGAATAAAGTCCAAAGTTCTTCATGTGCCCTTTGCTGTTTTCTGCCAACTAATGAACTGCACTCCTAAGCTATCTATCTCCCATTCTGTCTTCCAGGTACTCTGGTTATCCGCCGTTGATAGAAAGAGGACCAGCAGTTTCTTGTCCGGAAATGCCTTCTTTCAGTCTCCCTTCCCTAAACCCTTAGGCTTGGTACTGAGAGACAGGCAAACACCTTCAACAGCAGCAAAAACATGTTCGGATTAGATTTTGGTTGCAAATTAAAGAAATAGAAGGGGGAGGGAGGGCTTTTCCATGAAAAATATGTCCAAAGATTGACACTTCAGGCTTCAGTCTTAAGGTCACCTCATCCTGGTCCATATTCCAAACAATGGGGAGGAAAATGTCTTTTTTTCTTTTAAGAAGACTGGTTTGGAAGTTCTGCATATTTTTGCTTAAATCTCATTGGTCAAAACAATCATCTTGACACATCTGTTTTTTTTTTCTTTTTAAGAGATAAAAATAGTACCTCTGTTATTAATAAGCAATGGTAGAGCGAGGGCTCAGTAGCATGCATGCCTCAGAGAGAGCAGAGTGATGTAATGAAGTAATAAACACTTGAACATACAGAATAAGCCGTCTCTTTCTCGGCTGATATTTAAAGCCAGGTCCCCAGATCTTCAAACTGTTTGAGATTAAAAGCAACAAAGCAACAAAACCCATTGGGAAAAAAATGCCCAGTAATGAAAACTGAGACTCAGGGTCTGGTGACCTAAGAGGAAAACCAAGCAGGCCTGATGTCATAGATGCCAAGATAAATTGTTTACATTTGTCAATTGTGACAAACGCTGCTGAGAAATCAAGAAAGATAAGAACAGAGAAATGACTACTGGGTTTGGCAATACCAAGGAGTCTGATAGGAGTTGGTATGGGTATTGAGGTTCAATACTGAAGGGTTACCCTTCAGTAGGAAAGAGGTTTGATGCTAGATAGCTAAAACAACAGTTAGTGTCTGTGTGATGATCAGAACAGCCTAGGCTCTGCTGTGATAACAAATCTCCAGTTAGCTCAGTGGCTTCCCACAGGTGTATTTTCCCCCACCTGTGTAAAATCCGCTGTGGCAGTTAATCTTCAGTATCAATTTGGTTTGATTTAAAGTCACCACAGAAACACATCTCTGGTTTTGTCTGTAACAGTGTTTTCTGAATAGCTGAAATGAGGAGGGAGAATCCACCCCGAGTGTAGTTGGCACCATTCCATGTGGGGGTCCTAGAGCTGAACACACAGGAGAAAGCAGCTGAATCCTCACCAGCATCCTCTCTCTCTCTCTCTCTCTCTCTCTCTCTCTCTCTCTCTCTCTCTGCCTCCTGACTGCAGATATAATGTGATGAGGACTTCTGGCCACCATGTAATCTCCACCATGATAGTCTATATACTCAAACTGTGTGCCAAAATAAGCCCTTCCTCCTCCTTGCTGCTTCTGTCAAGTATTTTTCAGAGAAACGAGAAAACTAATATGTCTGCTATGAGTCAGGTATTCTTCAAGGTAAGTTATATTTTAAAAAATTACTTTTTGGTTGGGCGGTGGTGGCGCATGCCTTTCATCCCAGTTCTCGGGAGGCAGAGGCAGGCAGATCTCTGTGAGTTTGAGACCAGCCTGGTCTACAAGAGCAAGTTCCAGGACAGTCTCCAAAGCCACAGAGAAACCCTGTCTCAAAAAGCCAAAAAAATTTTTTTTTTTTTTTTTTTTTTGAGACAGGGCCTTATATGGCAACTTTTGGATGTTCTGGAACTCACTATGTAGACCAGGCTGGCCCCAAACTTATAGAGTTCCTCCTGCCGCAGCCTCTCAGGACCTGGAATTAAAGCTGTGTACCACCACACCCAGCTGTTAACTTTTCTTTTACACTTGGATATTTAGGTCACTTTCACCTTGAACTCCTTCATCTCAAGAGCAGACTTCCAGATTGCCCCAAAGAGAAAGAGGGCTGGAGGCTGGTCATCAACAACTAAACAACTTCCACTTCCAGACTGCTAGCCAGAACTGGTCACACAGGTGCAGTCCAACTGCAACAGAGACTGGAGCAGGTAGGGAAAAGGTCATCTATGTAGTAGGTACTATTCTTTCAGCCACAGCTCTCCACATCTTTGACTGTTCTCAGCTCTCATCCTCCTAGGAGGAGGGTGGGGAAGAGGACTGCCTTGCTCCTTGGTCAGATTGTGCCAAAGGACAGAGGAACCCCAATTCCATCCGGATGCCCTGACGTCCATCTCCCTGTACAGCTGACAGAAACAGCTGTCAGATTCTAGTTTTCTCTCTGGCATGTGGCATGTGGGGAGTCCAAGAGGCCAGCCTGGGCTACATGAGACTTTATTAAAGCAAGCAAACAAGGAAGGGAAAGAAAGGAAGGAAGGGAAGAATAAAAAAGAAAGAAGAAAGATTGAAAAGAATTCTAGCTTGTTGAAAGACCCAAATGTTTGCTTGTCTTGGGCACAGATTCCCAGAGTCAGTCTCAGTTCATCAGTGCCACTACCAGGGCTTTAGCAGAAAACAGACATCTTCTAAATGCCACTGGGCTTTGCAGTGGCCCCGTTTCCCAAGGCTTTGCTCTCCTGAATCATCACTGTTGAACAGAACAAGGCAGGTTCCTCCCACTTTTTCTTCTCTCTCTTGTCTTTAGAAACGGAGTAGTGACTCAGGGAGATGGCATGAGCGAAGAAAGGACTCTCACTCAGTAAATGCTCATTACACTTCCTTTGTACAGCTCTTTGCCAAAAGCTGGAGTCATGACAGAGATGAAGCACACAGCTTTCTGGGGTTACAGCTAAGAAAGCAGAGCACTGGAGCACTAGGTGATGAGGGCATATACACACAGGTGATGACAGGCCAGTGGAGGGGATGGCAGGCTTTGCTTATGTCTTCGGGATGGAGTTCATGCAGAAGAGCGTCTATAGCAAGGTGGCAGTCAGAGTGGACAGGCTTGTAATGGGAGAAAAGGAAAATTCCCAAATGAGGAAGCCAGAAGGAAACACGTAGTGGGAAAGCAAAGGCATGCTCGGGCTGAGGAAGCATGAGCAGCGGGGTGTAACTGGAAAGGATATTCGAAAGGATATGACAGAGAGGCCAGGATGGAAAGTTCTGTATTATGGCTCCATCAGGTGCCAGGAACAGAAGCCTGGCATGAGTGAATGGAGGTCCGAAGAGAGATTTTTGGCTCAAGTAATCCTGTGAGCCATTGGTACCACAATAGCTTGGCCCAAGGACTACTGTGGACCAGCTGCATCCAGGAATGCATCTAGCCCCTGCATTCATCATTCATCATTCATCATTCATCATTGCTTCCTTGCATGTCAGTTGCTTCTTTGTTGTTATTGTGGTTTTAAAAAGAAATCATAAAACCTCCATTTTAATCAATTTCAATACCATTCACCGGGTGTTGGTGGCGCAGTCCTTTAATCCCAGCACTTGGGAGGCAGAGACAGGCAGATCTCTGTGAGTTCGAGGCCAGCCTGGTCTCCAGAGCGAGTGTCAGGATAGGCTCCAAAGCTACACAGAGAAACCCTGTCTCAAAAAAAAAGACTACCGTTCAGTGACATCTGGTTTCCACGTTGTCAGGTAACCACTATCACCACGCATCTCTCTTCCTTTGCATATGCTCTCACTACCTCACCATACCCATAAAGCAGTTGGATCAGTCTTGGATGGAAACCTCTGAGTCCATGAGCCAAAATAAGCCTTCATCTTTTAAGTTAGGACTGTTAGCCTGCACCGTATGATTGGTAGAGGAGTAACAGCTCTCCAAAGGAAGGAGCTGAGCTATCATAAGAAAGGGAGCTAGAGAGATGGCTCAGCAGTTAAGAACACTCTGCTCTTGCAGAGGTTCGATTCCCAGCACCCACATGGTGATTCACTGTCCTCTGTATCTTCAGTTCCAGGGGGATCCAAAGCCCTCTTGTCCCTTCCTCAGGCACTGTATTATGTATGTGGCACATAGACATATAGACAAAACACCCATACACATAAAATAATTTTTTAAAGGAAGGACAGGTGAACACATAGAATATGAAATATTCACCAGAGATAGATTAGGGCCAGGCTACCAGAAGTCTAGAATGCCAGCCTAAAGAACTCAGCCTTTATTCTGCTGGGCAGTTAGACTGTGTAGCAATGTTTAGATCAAGAACAGTCATACATACAAAGAAGCTGGAGTGAACTTTGGACCAACACATGCCCCAATCAACAGGATCCAGAGACCCTGTCTTCTGTGTAACACTAAGGAACATTGGAATTTTATTTTTATTTTATTTTTTGAGACAGGGTCTACATAGCCTTAACTGGCCTGGAACTTGCCATGTAGACCAGGCCAGCCACAAACTCACAGAAATCCACCTGCCTCTGCCTCTTGAGTGATGGGCATAAAGGGCTGCACCACTACACATGGCTGATATTAGAATTTTAGATGTCGTTTAGCCCTTGGGCAGAGACCAGCTGTGCCAAGCCCTAACTCTGAGTAGGAATTTTGTCTTCTGATCTCTTGGGACTGACCACTGAAGATGAGTGAGACCAAGCAAGGTTCAGAAGCCCCTAGAGCCATCACCATCACCATCACCATCATCAAGGCTGCACATTGGGTGAGCATCACTATTGGTGATTAAAACCATTTCACAGACCTTAGGGATAACCCTCACCACCCACCAGGCACAGACTTGGCTCCAGATACTCTCTCTCCCATCCCAGAGAAACACCTCTTGCAAAGTAACCCTTTGACTGATTCTACCTACTCCCGTGACCCCCTAGGGGGCCACAAACTCCTATAAAAACAACCAGGTTCCTTTCTGGCCTGTGTGCTCACCTCGTTTGTCCAGACCACTGTCCAGCATACTCCATGGACTCATGTGGACAATGTTCTGGTGTGTAAATGCAGATTTACCAGTTTGGCACAATGAAAGAGTGCACTGCTTGCCAGGTTCTAGAATTTGTATAGTAGGAAGAGTCTGTAGATAAGTGACTGGCACACCTGTGTCAGCTGACCTTGGAACCGAGTTGTCACTGCAGTGGCCTTAGTGATTAGAAGGCATGTTGACTATTGCAGATGACTCTTTTCTTCTTACTGGAGGCTCTGGTTTTGAGCTCTCTCTTGCCTTTCGAGGCTGCTCTGAAAGCTAACTTTTTCTTTATTTTATGCTTATTTGTTTGTGTATCACTAGGAATCATCAAGCCCAGGGCCTTATTCATCATGCCAGGCCAGTGCTCTACCCCAGCCATTGTCTTTTTGTTTGTTTTGCAACAGGATCTCACTGTTGTAGCTCAGACTGGACTTGACCCCACTGTGCAACCCACACCGACTTCAAACCCTGAATCCTTCTGCTCCAGTGTCTCAAGTTCTGGGGTTATAGATGTACACAACAAAAACTTGGCTATGAAAGCTTGTTTTATTTTTATATATATTTTAAGGTTTATTTAGTTTTTTTATGAGTATGAATATTTGTCTGCATGTGTGTATGTGTACCATGTGTGCCTGGTGCCCATGGAAGACAGAAGGGGGTGTCATATCCCCTGGACTGAAGTTATAGATTGGAATTACAGACAGTTGTGAGTCACTGTGTGGGTACCAGAACTGAACCCAGGTCCCCCACAAGAGCAGCAAGTGCTGGAGAGCCATCTTTCCGTGAACACTCATTTTAACCAGATGAATCAGATGTTACCTGAGCACTGACCAGGCCTCCAGCTCCTTCCTCTGGCCACACCAATGCACCCATGACCTCTCCGTGCTGTGGGCCTTGCCTTTTCTCTGATCAGGGGTGATGAATGCTTAGTTTGCCTGGCCTGGCTCACCCACAACTGCTGGGTCTCCTGCACGCTCTCCTAGTCTCAATGGCCTCTCATCCACCTGGAAATCCTCCTGCTTTTGACCTCTCCTGTGATTCTTGTGTTAAGCTCCTCACTTCCTTGGGTTTATAGCCCCTGTCCTTGTTCAGGCCTCACTAGGTCTATTGCCTGGAATTTATCCCCAGTTCCTCAACTGGTCTCTCTTGAGAAGCCACTGGTTCAGATCGCCCCTATATAACCCTCATCTCCTTCCATGGCCCCTGGCTCTCTTTGTGTTGTTTATTTCCCAGAACTGCCTTTCTGGTCCCCCAGCTCTTAAGCCCTTCCTAGCCCACTGTTCTTGATGCAATCCCGTGAACACTGCCAGGCTCGTTCTCATTATCATTTCTCCAATCTGGTGTGGAATATTACTTTAACTATGTAAAGATGTGTTACATTTGTTTATGTTGTGGAATATTTAACTGTGTAAAGGTGTGTTACATTGTTTATGCTGCATTTGTTTAAAGATGTAAGGATGTATTGCTTTGCCTGCCTAAAGCACTTACCTGACTTGTCTAATAAAAGCTGAAGGGCCAATAGCTAGACAGCAGAGGGATAGGCAGGGCTGGTGGGCAGAGAGAATGAGTAGGAGGAAGAATTTAGACAGCAGAAGAGAACAGGGAGAAAGAGGGAAATGCCTGGGGCCATCCTGATAGACCTGGAGGAAGCAGGAAAGTGGGACAAACAAAACTAAAGAAAGGAAAAAAAATAAAAAAAACCACCCTGAGGCAAAAACATAGATGAAGAGAAACAGGTTAAATTAAGTTATAAGGGCTAATGTGACAAGCATAAGATAAGGCTGAGCATTTAGAACTAATAATGTCTCTGTGTTATGATTTGGGAGTTGGTGGTACAGAAGCCTGCTACACCAATCAGACCTCTTTCCTCTGTATTCCAGGGCACAATACAGATAACTAGTGTCACTTTTCTTTCCAATCTACTGTCTAAACCAGGACATTTTGGAGAATTTAAAGGAAATGCTAAGAATTGCTTTTGTTTAGCAGGTACCCATTGTTCTGTTACAGACCAACTGGTAGGTGTGGTTACCCTGTTCTACCCAATGTCACTGTAAAGAGTGGCATTTGGTACTCCCATGCCTCTCATTCGTATTGCTAGGTAGCCCTGTGAGGTGGTATTGCTATCATTTTCCAGATGGAAGATGAAACCTCAGAGAGCTGGAGACCATGGACAACACAACCAGGTGGCAAAACCAGTCCAGGAACCCAGATATCTAAATTCTGGACTCTTCTACACTTAGTGTTGGGGTCTAGACATAGGACATGTGCTACCCTGAGATGAAAAGGACCTGTAGAAATGGAGGCTTACCAAAAAAAAAAAAAAAAAGTCTGGGGGCTGGTGGGGCTGGTGGGGCACATATATAATCCCAGCACTTGGGAGGCAGAGGCAGGCAGATCTTTGTGAGTTCAAGGCCAGCCTGGTCTACAGAGTGAGTTCCAGGACAGCCAAGGCTACACAGAGAAACCCTGTCTCACAAAACAAAACAAGGAAATAAAATAAAAAATAAATAAAAAGCAAGCAAGAAAGAAAAGAACTGGAGGCTTACTCAGAGAGAAGGCTCCGTTAAGTTAGAAAAGAAATGGTGTGTTTTATTATAAAATCTGTGGCCTCCTCAGCACACTAGTTGCTATCTATTCATCCAGCCATGTGTTCGGTTAACATTTATTATACACCTACTATGTGTCGTGGAGGTTCCCAGATTACACGTCTCCTAAATATATTCCCTTGCCATATTTCAAGATGGCTATTCTAAGAAACTGTGTCCAGAAATAGCTCTGGAAATCTGTTCTTCGGCTGAAGAAGTTTCCATCAATCTGCACGAGTGTAGAAAGCAACAGAAGTGGAGAGTCACTGGGTCTGCCCAGGAAAAATGTTTTAACCCGAGAGTCTGGGACCACATGGCTTTCTGAGACGCTACTTGCCTGGTAGAACAGACTCTCATCATCAAGCAGCTCCACTCCTGTGCTCACTGGCTGAAGCCCTCACTTTCCCACACCCAGGAAACACCCAAACCCTAGTCTTTTGTGTAACACAAAATGTTTAATAAATGGCAACCATTTGGTTCTTTCCTTAGGGTTTACACTTAGTAGATTTTTGCTTGTATTCATCGTGTGTGTGTGTGTGTGTGTGTGTGTGTGTGTGTGTGTGTGTATGTGTGTGTACGTACGTACTGAACCCAGGGCCTCACCAACACAACAGACTTTGCTTGCTTTGAGTGCTTGTAGATTCTTGCATGCCACGGTCTGGCTCTGCAGTAGGTGCCTTTATAGTCTAAGCCATCTTGCTGGCCCTGCTCTTTCTCTTTTTAATCTGCCAACCGTTGGTTCATTATTACATCGAGGGGGGTGGGGGGAGAGGGAGAGAGAGAGCGAGACTAAAACTCCCTAAAGGAGTGTGTTGCTGTTACAATGATGAAATAAATGAATGCATCCCCCCCCCTTAGTGGGATTTATATTTCAAGCAGAAGTCTGTTCAGCAACAACCACACAAATAAACCCTAATTACAAGTCAGAATAAATGCAAAGGAGGGACGATAGTGGCTTAAATATTTAATATGTTGAATAAAAACGAGAGCTGAATATTTAGTAATAAATTTAACAGGCTTTTTAATCTCAGATTTCACAGTGGAGATGGCTCTCCAGTTTCTGCTTGAGACTGAAGAGCAGACAGGGAGATGAGGGTCGATTTGGATGTGTGGAGCTTGAGGTATGCAAAACTCCTTGGTATTCTGCACCCTCTCTAGTTAAACTGAGTTGACCTAAACCAAAAAATTATGGTAAGTCAGGGGAAACGTGCTCAGCTAGCCCAAATAAAGCTGGTCTCCAGGCAGGCTCAAGAGAACCGCCGGCAGGTGTAAAGAAAAGGAGCTGGGAAGGAAAGGGGAAGCGATGAGTTAGTTCCCAGAGTCGTAGACCTCGGGGGCAGAGCACTTAGGGACTGAACCATGGGTTACATCCCTAG